TCTGTGAAAAAGGACAAGGCTCTTCCTGAGTATAAAAACACAGTCTGTATTGTGAATTACCTAACATCATCCCAATAACTACATATTAAATGAAAAATGAAATGTGACAGTTTTTATTTATTTATACTAAAATACAGTTTCTTTGTTGCTCATTTTAGTAAGCATATTAATTATTTTGCTTTCAGAAGACATTTTTTATTATCCATAAATAATGTATCTGTACATTTGAGTAAAGATCCTTTTGGAGCCTATTATCTATGAAGTTTTGGGGTGAAGAGAATGGCAGCATTTTTCTGGCAAATCTTAAATTGTTATTTCATGAATGTTTCTTAAAGTAAGAATACCAAACTAGATAATGCTAAGAAAAATTTCTATAATTATATTGTTTATTGTTTTATTTTCCTGAATTTGTTTTCATACTTTCATTAACCAGCATATATTTTCAATTACTGCTTTTGCTAGGAATTTAGTGTGATATTATTTTATATCATGTATTCTATTCTAGATGAACTAATACTAATATTTTTGTATATATATTGTTGGTAATTAATTAATTTCACACTATACACTCTCAGCATATGATGAGATTTTTTGTCACTGCATGTATGTGAGCCTGTATTTATTACCTCCCCACAAAAAGGAAAAATAATGCTTCTGTTGTATTATTTAATTATACATGTACTCTTGTTCACAAGCTATGTTTAAAATAAGCCTGGCTTATGTATTATTGATCAGGATAAATCATGTTGGATTGAAGTCATGTGTGTGTATACACATATGTGTGTGTGTCTGTGTGTAAGTTTTGTGTATTCAGATAGCTATCCATATAGATGCATAGGTTTATGATTTTTCCAATCAAAATCACCTAATAGAATTTTAACTCAAAACACTACATAAATCAGAACTGAAAAAACTCTTACTCGTTAATTTAGCCCATATTATAATATCTTTTGTTTTTTCAATACTTTATATATTTTCATCCTGTTCACTTGAAAAATTCTAGTTTTTGTGTTAGGTATTTTTGCAGCCACACATTTACAATATAAAGCAAAGTTAAGGGATAACAAAAATTTTCGATGGCTGCAGATCAAGTGCTAGAAATACTTTTAAAACTTGCAGTAAAGCTGTTTTAGTGTTGTATTTCCTAGATTCCGCTTCATTGCTCATTTGTAAAAACAAACATTTGCCATGAAGACATAACTGCCAATTTAGCCTAAATAAGACAAATGAGATAATGAGACTAGTGGCAGATTCGAGTTGACAAATCCTGCAGAATGCCCAGCTTCAAGTAAAAAGCTTTCCTTTCCTGCCAAAAGGTCTATATGCTAATACTAACTAATTTGCCAACCTTGGCCTTACATTGTTTGACAATGGCTGAGCATCCCAATTTGTTACAGTTGTGACATTTATTTGGATGTAAAATGTATCTCGATCTAGTAATCTATGCAACCTCTTACCCCAACAACCAATCACACAGATACATACTTTGCATTGAAAGGCTTAGAAAAGCAGAGATATATTTTTTAAAAGCTTGGTACGTATTACTAAACACAGGGTAATAGTATGGACATCATAGGTGTGGCTTTCATCTCTTATGCTGGTTACAGCAATAGAGTTGAAGTAAAGTATCTATGTACTTTAACTTAATTCTGGGGTGCATCAGAACATTTGCCCCAAATGAATTACTCAAGTACTTGTGAGTTAGCTACCAGTTTTTATGCATTTTGAAGTCAACTTAGAGTATTAGAAATATACATATTTTCAATCTTTCTATAGAGTTCCAAAATAATCACAGGTATGGATACTTCATATAGTTTTCAATCAGTTTCCCTTATTATTTAAAAGATTAATGTACTGATGTGTCTATATTACTCCTCATGCAAAGTTAATTTTGTGTATTAGAATAGATATAAGTAAAAATTTCAGTTTGGAGATATCTTATATTAAAAAATAAAAAAGACTAGGAGGGGTTAAGCACAACACTATGAAGCTGTCTGCAGCCACTGCAGCTCGAGTTCGATCCCCGGCCAGGGACCAACCTACATGGCGCAGCAGAACTCTCCTGTCTCACCCACTGCTCCCCCTCAGCAGTATGTTTCAGTCAGTCTGCCTGTCTGTTCCCCTCTCTGTCTCTGATGAATCCTCTCACCCTCCACACCTCTGGTCTGTATCCCAGTTCTTGTATGCATAAATATATAAATCTTAAAAAAAAAAGAATAGGCACTTAAAGAAATGTTTGCCTCACTTCTTTAAAATTTATCCTAGATTAAGCAATAAGGATAATTGTATATAGAAATGATAAATATAAGAAATGCTTATTTTGAACACCTGTAAGATGATGTAACCTATTCATTTAAAAATAGATAGGAAACACATTTTGATCTGCACTAATTCAGACTTTGTAAATAGCACTAAAATATTTAGTTGCTAAAAACTAAAAAAAAAATAAATAAACACTTTGTATTTAGAAAACATCAATTCTATTACTACAAAATCAATTCAGGAAAAGAGTTTGCCTTGCTTGAGAAAATCACATTAAATTATAAACCTATCAAGCAGAGATATTTAGATAAAAATATTGTCAATTGATGAAAATACAGGAGGTAAGGACAGAGAAGAATTATATCAAAGACCTTATTGGGTTTGGCTTTATATAATGGTGTTTTACCCCATGAGATTTATCAGACACCCACAGACTTTTTGAATAGTCTCTATCAGATGAAACACTGGGAGCTTGGGCTGAAAAAAAGCATAAAAAGAAAGTATAAAATGAGACAGAATGTTGAACCCCCAACATTCTATTCGTAGGAAGCAAGTGTCAAGAAAATAACCACATATATGTTATGTTTCATGAAAATTAAAGGACAAGTTAAAGAACAGAACCAAGAACACCTACATGCAATTGAGAGGCATGGGGATTTATTCCCAGGATTTTATATATAGTGAAGGAAGGTCCAATATTGAACTCAGACTGTAGAGGTGATAACACTCAGACTTAACCCGTAGGTTACCAGGGACACACTCACATGGTTTCTGATAGACTTTAGGTCATCCTGGCAGTTGGCTAGAGATAGCAGTTTCATAAGTCTATTCAGATTCATAACATTTTCTTAAAAGGCAATGAGGTAGAGCTATTCTCTACGGAATGATAGTTGAAAATCCACTGTTAACCACTTAACAACCCTCTACTCATGGGTTCTGCATATAATTATGTCCTATATACTTTTAATGACATCCTATTTTGTTTCTTCTGAAAGATCTATTTTTGATGTTGCAAATAAAAAGACATGTTTTGCTTGTCTATAGCCAATAGAATAATTAAAATTCACTGAGTTCCTATAACTGAGATATATTAGTCTTGATCCCATTTTTTCACATTTTTAATATTTATTTTACAAAGTTGATGTTTTCCTCCTTCATTACTAGTCATAATTTTCAAAAAATAAATATATTTAAATGTGTATCCAGTTATTATGAAACTAGATTTATTTTCTCTTCAGTTTAGTTCATTTCCATGGTAACCATATAAATTAAGGATTGATAATCAATTTTCCCAAATTAGATTCCTTCCTGTGATTTCTCTTTACAATGCACCCTTTTTCTACTCAGTTTCTTTCAAACAACCAACAATATTTTACTATACCAAGTATGTGTTATTAATCTAATGTTTATAGACAAAATATATATTCATACTATATCATGATTCCCCATTTATATCAAACACTTTTACTAAAATAGTTTTTAGAAATCACTGTTCTTTGAATTTGGGGGTCTCTCAAGTCTGTGGTCTTAGGCATAACAGCAGCTTTGACAAATATTTCAAGTACTGTGTAATATATTTCATCTACTTCCCATTTGATGACATATTATAGAATATATTTTTCCTTTCCCACCAATTGTGTTACCAGGAAGCCTTTCTTAATGAATGCTTCTCCATGACACTCTTCACAATTTGGGATGTTGAGACTATTTTCATAAGTGGACTCTCCTATCCTGGTCTTTACCAGACTGAGTTGTTCTTTTCATAGGATATTTAGTACCACAGTCATTAATATTTAAAACCAGCCATCCAAAGCAAGGAGTCATGTCTTCTTCCAAAGTGTCACTCAAGAAAATCCCCTTGTCATTTTATGGATATGTGTGCTGCATATATCTATTGTTTATCATCTTTCCATGTCTTGCCAAATTTGACTATTTTCTTGCCAAAATAATCCCTCTAAAATTTCTGTATGAGATAGTGTACTTTTCAGCATATGGCATGCTTTCAAAAATGCTATTTCTAGTTGGCTCAAAACACTTAGTTATAAATCAATGATTCCTGAATGGTTTAATACCACTGGGGCCAATGTTGACTTCACTACACTTACCATTGCTACTTTTGACCATGAGTATAATCTAAAAAGTGTGTGTACAGTCTCTCATTGTGATTATTAGGAAATCATTAATTGTGCATCTTCTCCTAAAAATTTACCCAGAATGCATGTACCAAAATATCCAACCAGAGAGGGTTTCTTTGAAGCTCTAAAGTCCAATGAATGTGAACATTGTATCATTTTATGTCAGTCTCCTTCATTATTTTCAACCTCTTTTTAATTTAAGTAATTGAGTTCATCAGATACAGCAGAGCAGGCTCTGATATTGCAAGCTACTGCTTCAGCTGTGTGTTAGCCTTGTTCACAGTTATCTAATGCATAGGTGATCAAATATATAATAAAAGACCTTTACAATTCAAAGACAAATTCTCCTCGTATTTCAGCATAAAAGCTTGATTAGTGAATGGAGTCTAAAAAAGTCAAACTAAAAGCTGTTTCCAAATGATCAAGATAAAGATTTGTCCTTTCCTACTTTTCCAAGAGATTTTACATCCACTATTTGATTGCTTAAAATCCCACTATTACAATGGTTGACATAAGTACTTCATTCTTCTTGTATTGCTTTACCAAACAGAGAGTCATAATCAGATCACTCAACAATGGAATATGGAAGAAAGGAGATCCTACCATTCGCTGATTGTCAAAGGGAAGCTGTGTTTTGCAATGATCCTCCTAAGCCACCATCTGTAGTAAAAAGTAGGTATATTTTACACACATGCATATACATATAGTAAACATAATACAAACACTCACAGTCTTCACTTGATAAATTAACTCTCTTGAGAAATCACCTTTGAGTCTCCATTTTCTTTCTTTTAAAAAAATATTTATTTATTTATTTATTTATACAAGAACTGGGGTACAGGCCAGATGTGTGGGAGGGTGAGTTGATTGACCAGAGACAGAGTGGGGAACAGAACAGGCAGACTGATGAAATACAATGCTGAGGGGAGCAGGAGCTGAGACAGGAGAGGTCTGCCTTGCCATGTGGGCATCTCCACGATTGGCAGGGATCTAACCAGCACTGCAGAGGCTACAGATAGCTTCACAGCGTTGTGCTCAACTGCCTGTGCCACCAGGGAGGCCCTAAGTCTCCATTTCCTCCATCATATGCTGAGACTTCCCCTTTGATCTTCTAATACCTTTTATCTGAATTATCTTACCATTTTCTCATCCACAAATTGCATGCAAGATAATTAAGAAAGTAAATCCATTACCACTACTTTGTGTACCTTTAGTGATGGATGTTGTCTCTATTAAAGTCCAATACCAAGTCAATTGTTTCTATAGAAATGAGCAATACATGGTAGTGGCATTTAGTACCTTTCAGGTCTATAACCTTAACAGCCTGTAATGAGGACTTTGCAAGGCAGAATCTTACTTCTGTCATAAAGTTCAATAAGCAAGCTGAAGGGCTTCCCTTGGTGATGCAGATGGTTGAGTGCAGAGCTATGAAGCTGTCTGCAGCTTCTGCAGCACCAGTTTGATCCCAGCTGGCCGGCGAGGGTCCCACACGGTGCGGCAGACCTCTCCTGTCTCGCCCGCTGCTCCCCTCAGCAGTGTATTTCGTCAGTCTGCCTGTTCTGTTTCCCACTCTGTCTCTGGTGAATCCTCTCACCCTCCCGTGCATCTAGTCTGTGCCCCAGTTCTTGTATAATAAAAATAAATCTTTAAAAAAAAATAAGCAAGGTGAAGAGTTGATAAGGTGTCTAATACCTTATGTACATTTGGATCTTATGGTCCCAATGGCCCAACACATGTCCCTTACTGTAACATTTTATAGCCCACAATGTGAAGAATGCTGGTCTCTATGTGAACTTTCTTACTCCTAGCCAGTTAGTGCATCTTTTACTTTGCTTCATTTAAATAGGCAAGAAGTTTCCAAAATTTAAGAAGGTGCACAATATATTCACTAGATAGTGGATTGTTTTCTTAGTAGTCAAATTCCTTAGGAACAGTAATCAGTCTCCATTTCAAAAAAAGATCTGTTGAGGCACCAAATAAATGATCCACAATTTTTCATGGTCTTTTTAGTCAATTTCTGACTTTTGAATTTATCGTTGGTTCACTATAAGACTTAGACTTAGTTGTCATTTTTTTTTTTGCTTCCTTTACACATTCTACAATACATGCCAACACAATATTTCAGCTTCCTCTTTACCAATACCATGAGCAAATCTTTTCTTCCGAAAGTATAACAGTATATAGCAGAATTTAAATACCCTTGACAATGTGGTAAAAAAGTGTTCAATTTCTACCCATATGAAGAGAGAAGTTTTACTTTTTTTCTGCTGAAAGTATGAAAACAAAGCTTCAGTATATTAAGTGACATTATTTGAGTATCTTTTAGCCTGTTGCATCTTTTGACTAGTTCATATCAGCACCACAGACTCCACCAAGTGTATTACATTAGTGATTCTTTGTTAGTCTACCATCGATCTGGGCGATCTGCTAAACTTTCTTGTTCATCTAACTTAAGATAGCTAAAGGAAACAGCAATATTATTACCTCCACTTCGACCATTCAAAAATCAAAGTTGTAATGTTTTGCTGGGGCCTCCCTGGTGGCATAGTGGTTAAGTCTCAGTACTATCACCACTATGGCTTGAGTTGGATCCCAGACCAGGTTGCTAACCCACATATGGCATAGCAGACTAACCCTGTCTCGCTCGCTGCTCCCATTGTCAGTATACTGCAATAGATACACCTGTTCTGCTCCCTACTGTCACAGATAAATCCTGTTACCCCCTGTACCTGTGGCCTACACCCCAGTTCTTTTACGCATAAATAAATCCTTTAAAAATAAATAATTTTTTCTGCTATCCTTTGTTAAGTCTATATTACCTACTAGCCATCACTAAATAAGCCTAGGAAGTTTCACTTTGCATGTCCAACCAATTTACTCTTTTTTTTTAAAAGATTTATTTATTTGTATATTTATTTATTTATTTATTTATTTATTTATTTATTTATTTATACAAGCACTGGGTACAGTCAGAAGCGCGGGATGGTGAGAGAATTCACCAGAGCCAGAGTGGGGAACAGAACAGGCAGACCAATGAAATACACTGCTGAGGGGAGCAGCGGGCGAGACAGGAGAGGTCTGTCGCACCATGTGGGACCCTTGCTGGTGGCCGGGGATCAAACCGGTGCTGCAGAGGCTGTGGGCAGCTTCGCAGCCCAGCGCTCAACTGCTGCGCCACCAGGGGAGGCCCCAATTTACACTTAAGAAAAGACTTCGCTGAAATTTGACAAAAAAGAAACAATAGCGATATTTGCCACTTACGTTACATTCACTGGAAATACAAATTTTAGCTACCTTTAATTACTAGTATTTTGATCTGCAATTTTATTTCTGTCATAAATAAACTTATTCACTGATCACCTTTCAAGAAAGCATCTCTGTAATCAACAAATTCCAGTGAAGTTACCCCACAGTGTCTCCTCACTATGCGGCAGGGATGCTGGTGGATTAGGGATTTAAATCCAACAAGACAAGAAAAATTACTCCGCATGCCCTTTAACTAAAATTTCACAAGTCTTGGGGATCATGAGGATAGATGCAGTTACATATCTCTGGACTGAATTCCACTTTATAGATAAGATGAAATTTGTACCATTTTCAGCTCTCGTATTTAGTTCTCTCAGGTTACCTATTTAAAATTCATCCCAAAAATAAATAAATAAAATTCATCTAGGTGAGGAGAGAGTGACTATGACAAGATCTTTTAAGATAGCTGACTTGTAAATTGGTTTCTCTGTGGTTGCCTGTCTTATTTTCTATCTTCTTTCTTTTTATATTTTTAAAATTTATTTTTTACATTGTTGTTAATTTTTGTACAGGATTTGATTTCTTCCCTCATGTGTAGTGCCCATCGTACTCCCACCACCGTAACATCTCCTATGACCCATGACCACAGTTCCTTGTTCTTGTCCCTCCCCTGTCTGCACCCTGCTCCCACCAGCTGCCCTGCTATATGCCTCGTGTCTATGGTCAGCTTGCAAGTTTTGCCAGTTCCTGACCCTTAGTCTATTTTCTCTATATTTCACATTTAAGTGAAACCATCTGATATTTATCTTTTTTCCATCTGATTCATTCTACTCCTAGTAATCTACCCAAATAACACAAAAACACCAATTCAAAAGGAAACCTGCATCCCTATGTTTATTGCAACACTATTTACAAAAAAAAAAAAATCATTTAAAAACCTTTAAGCTCTACTTTTACCAACAGAGTCAGCCCCTTCTGCCCTTGGCAACATACTAGCTGTACTTTACTTAAAAGTTCTGCAATAATCTTAGCCAACGCAGTCACTTTATAAAGTTTATTTATTCTTCAGTCTCTACAGTCTCCCTTTCATAACCATTATTGGTGCAGATATACAAATGCTTCTTAGGATCAAATACAAAAACTGACTTAGATTAAGATACCTTGTACTCTCAAAGATTTATAAATTTTTGCCAATATGTATGAGCAGGAAGCCAGACATTATTTATAGAGACTCATCTTAAGGGTACTGGATGGATATCCAGGAAAGATAGGATATAATGGTGAATCAAGCAATATTTGTTTCTAAAAATTAGTAACTCATGTAACAGAGGTTCCGATTCAACTATTAATTCAAGAATTTAGAATGGATTTAACATTTTTTCTTGTTTGGTTGGCTGAAAACTAGTCTAAACAGTGGCCTACAAGGGCCTCCCCTGGTGGCACAGCGGTTGAGCACTGGGTTGCGAGGCTGCCCGCAGTCTGTGCAGCGCCAGCTCGATCCCCTGACACCGGCGAGGGTCCCACAGATAAAAGCTAAAAAAAATTAGCAGTGGCCTACATTATGAGATTGATGGCCAAATTTTCTAGGTATTGAGGAGGAAACCAATCCTGATATGTAGGGAGATAATCATATTGGTGTAGATTTATCATTGATGATATGTCCTAATAGAGAAACAAAGGACAGGAAAACATTTGAAACATCTTGTTAATATGTTGACAAGATGAGCTCCAGTATCCTTATAAAGCTCTGTAGTGTCTGTTCTTTACAAAGCTAGAATGATGAAAACATATGTTTCCAATGACCCGGACCCTCATTTCAGCGGATTTGATATGAATCATGGAGTAGCAAATATAGTGACTGTAATGGGCAGAAGGCCAGAGTGACAACTGCAGTATTTGATTGGCAGGGAAAAATACTGGTAGCTTAATTAACCATGGTGTTCTGGATGGGGAGTCTACTATTACATTACCTACATATGTAATTGGAAAAGTTGTAGGCATGTCTGGTAAATGCAGACTGCTGAAATTTTCCACAGAGTAAGAACTGAGTTACTTCAAGCCTTGAATGGGATCATGTATGTGAAATGTCTTCTAATAATGCTAAAGTATAATATGTAATGATTATAGAATATCAAAATAACATTACAATTAATCTAGAAAAGGAATTACCTTTGTTCAGAAAATAGCCTCATAACTGATATGACCTCGTGTACCCCCTTCCAGGGATAATGAGTACTTCTTCAACTGTATGTGGATAGTTGCATACTCTGAGGCATAAGCCTGGTGTTGTAACATGGGGATTTAAATTCGAATAGAGGGTGTGTATAAGTGACCCACAAGAGGGTGACTAACAGTCTCTATTGTCTCTCACTTCCACATACACCCCATCTATATTTTTTATGTATTGTTAATGA